TTTCCCCTGCCTTCTCCCTCCCTTCTCAGTACTATAAATTCCACAAGCGCGTCCGCAAACCTCTCTTACGTTCTCGACTCCCAAGCCAGCTTCCGAGAAGCAGTGGCTAGGTGAAGTGTTTGTTGCGAGTCGGAAAGTCCTGTCGGGTTGACGATAGGTTGGCCGGTTGCATGCTTCATCGGCACTTTGGATTGTGGGATCTGGGCGAACCACGTCGAGTTTGCGTCAGTGGGGTGACGATCGCAGCGGCGGAAGTTGGCACGCGACGGCTGGGATCGTCGGTGCGGGTATGAGGATCGGTGGTTGGAGTTGAGTGAGTGATTGGCCCGGGGCCGTACTGGAAATTCACGGCGAGAGCGCCTTTGTTGTTGCGGATCGTTACCTTTGGGTGTGAGTGCGCGGCTGCAACGCCGAATGTCCTCTTTCGGATCTCCGTATCTCCTACCTCGACATTTTTTTCTCTCTCCCTCTCCTCTTTCTCTGAGTTGAATGACGTTGTGTCATGAGTTTGTCCTCCCCGTGAATAAGAATGACTCTGTGTGCTTTCCTGTGCGAAGGAACTTCTTCCGGAACTCTTCCATTAGTTTCCCGGGTAATCCCCAGGTGTCGAGATATTGATCCTCTTGTCTTGTGAATGGTGGATGCATGTGTACAGTTCCCTTGGTTGATTTCTGACCTATGCACCCCTAGTCACCTTCGCACCTTGCACAGTGGATGTATGTACGTAGATGCTTGTCTTTTTGTGTTGACTAGACTCGACGACGGGATTTTGTTCGAGAATGCAAGAGTGTTTAGATCTGTGGTTCTGAATGCACTGCGCATGCCATCTGCCTTATGTTGCATGACATCTGCAACCGATCTACAGGGCAGCCTCAACATGTTATTCGTTAAAACAGTACATTATTGTGTGTACTATTTTGGAACGAATTTATGACACAGTGTATAGTCTGGTGTAGTATTCCAGATCCGGATACATCCGAACAAGGAGTAAAGCAGCTTTGAGGCGAGGAGCACAGTCAGTACATATATCTGCTGCGCTCCTCTTGTGGTTCGGATGTGTCCAGATGTGGAACACCGCAGCAGAGTATACACTTTGTTATACGCCTCTGAGTCAGTACATATATCTGCTACCACTGTGCTATATGTACTGCTGCCTCAGTACATATATCTCCTGTGTCCAGATGTGGAACACCAGAATAGAGTAATATATTACACTGTGTCATAGTTTCACTTGGAGTTGAGCATCCCACTCATCCGAATCAGAACAGTATAATGACACAAACTCGAGTTTGTGAGTAAAACGAGTTGTGGCTCTTCACAGACTTAGAGGAGTAGGATGACCCGTATTTAGAAGTGTGAGGACCAGAATGAATTGGAGTTCTGCACCGATGATCGTGTACATGTATAGAGCGAGAGAGATAAAAAGAAAGAGAGAGACAGAAACAGCGAGACAGAGAGAGACAGAAAGAGCGAGAGACAGAGAGTCTTAGAGAGACTGTACTTACTTTTTAGTAGATGCAGGGTCGAGCGCACGCGTAGACCATTGACCTCGTTTTCTAAAGCATTTCAGACGATCGTTGTAGGAGAGCAGCAAGGTGATGTGAATTTCCAAGATAAGCGAAGCTCGGATGTATCCGAGATCACAGGAGATAGACAGACAGAGGAAGTCCGCAAGAAATGGTCGTGTACATTTGAAGAGCGAGAGATATAGAAAAAGAGAGAGAGACAGAAAGAGTGAGAGACAGAGTGTCCTAGAAAGACAGTACTTAATTTTCTCGAGACGCCGCACGGACGGCACAGGGTCGAGCACACGCAGAGATCATCAGCCTCGCTTTTAAAAGCATTTCAGACGATCGTTGCAGAAGAGCAGCAAGGCAATGTGATTTTCCCAGATAAGCGAAGTTCGGATATATCCGAGATCATAGGAGATTGACAGAAGGAAGCCCGCAAGAAATGACATATTAGCACGCCAGAGGGCTGAGAGATGGAAAAGACAAGCACCGTATAGTCACCCACAACATTTCGTGTTATGGACGTATTCGAAGTGTCGAACTAGTATAGACTCTTCAGTTTGAAGCTTCCCCTGTGCTTTTTGGGACACAGTTCAAGAAGTATCTTCAACAGAGAGAGAGAGAGAGAGAGAGAGAGAGAGAGAGAGAGAGAGAGAGAGAGAGAGAGAGAGAAACATTGTACCATCATCCACCACATTTCTGATCCATCTGGAGTGTCTCGGCTGTGAGTCGCTTTGCTACGATCTAGAGAGAGCTGACCAGATAGAAAGAGCGCGTGAGAGAGATGGAGAGGGCAACAGAGACAGGGACATAGACAGAGACACAGAGAGAGGCAGAAAGAGTGTGGATGATCGCACTAAATTTTCTTTTCATGTCGAAATGTGGCACAGGAGACGCATGTTCGAGGAACACGCGAAAACCACAAGTGTAGCTATACAAGAGTTGCAAGGGGTTCGTTAGGTGAGAGTAAGCCAAGTTCGGATGCATCCGAGATGACAGGGGAGAGGGAGTCCGAAGCAAACAGCAAATGAGCGCACTAGACACAGCTGTGGGTGTGTGTGTGCGAGAGAGAGAGAGAGAGAGAGAGAGAGAGAGAGAGAGA